TGCATTGTCATGCGATAGTTCAAGGGACTTGACAAATGCATACGTGCTAAAATGTGTTTTCCAGAATATGAGGAATATATCTGGATATTCTTGTAGACACAGGAGCAAACAAATGTATTGCAAGGAAGCAATGTTTCCACATGAGCTTTGGAAAAACATTGGAAAAACCTATCCTAATACGGTTGCAGATGGAGGTCAAAGTGATCACGGATGTGGTAGAAAACGTGGTTATACTGTTAAACGAGAAGAAGTTCACTCTAAGGGAAGTCCTAGTAGTGGCTTACTGGGGTAGATTTTATTCTCGGAAATAGCTTTCTGCGAGGTCAGGCAGAGGTTAGACCATTTCTTAGGATAACGACCACATTATCCTAGGAGGTCATAAAATCCCTATTCTTGCTAAGCCTGAAGTTTCGAAAGTGAGAAACGGTTTTAGACGGTGAAACTAAGGCAAGAAGTAGATCACATTGTTTCCAGGTTTTAGAAACAAGGAATTGGTGGTTGAAATCTTCTGATGCAGAAGAAGTGGATAAGGCTTGTAATGTTTTTTCAAAGGTTGTATCCTAGTTATATACAAAACGGATGCACGAGGTATATCGCAGGAGGATGACCCCTCTGGTGCATGCCTTGAGAGCACGGATAAATTCATACATAAGGAAAAAATCTTGAAGGTTGAAAACGAGAGCCAAAGAAAATCTTTAAGGATGAGGAACTGTTAAAATCCTTTAAAAAGGAACTTTCTCCATGCTTTGATGATCAACCATTAAAGTTATGGGAAAGGAACGGTATAGATGCTTCACTTGAATTGAAAAGGAAGGTTGATAAAATAGTGACCAAATCTTTTCCTTAATCTCTTGGCAGAGGAGAAATTCAGAAGCAAATACCGGAATTGCTGGAAAAGCAATTGATACGCGCAAGTAAAAGTCCACACTCTTCGCCAGCATTCATGGTTATGAATAGAGCTGAGCAGTTAAGAGGTAAAGCAGGGGTTATGATTATAGGCAAGTTAAATGAAAAAAACCATTGATGATGCTTATAAGTACCAAACAAATCAGCTGTTTGAATAAGCTAGATTTGGAAAAATCTTCTCCAAATTTGATCTGAAGTCAGGATTTGGCAGATCAGGATGTAGAGTCAAGCATTCTTTGACGGCTTTCACCTGTCCGAAAGGATTGTTTGATGGATGGTTCTACCTTTTGGGCTTAAGCAGGCACCATCAATTTCAGAGGAAAATGGATAAAGTTTTTGGAGAATATCTATTTGTGTAGTCTATATTGAGATGTTCTGGTTTTTAGTAAAACCATGGAAGAACATGTAAATCATCTTAGATGTGTGGCAAAAGGTTCCTTGATAATGGAATGATTCTATCTGAAAGAAAGGTAGAATGGTTTAAGAACAAGGTGAAGTTCTTAGGCGTTGAGATAGGTGAAGGAGGTATTCAACTCCAAGAACATATCTTCAAAGAAGTGCTGGAATTTCCAGATGGTTGGAAGATAACACAGTTACAGCAATTTCTTGGATTAGCCAATTACATGCGCGAGTATGTTCCTAATCTCGCTAATGGGATTAAGGCTTGACGTTAAGGTTAGTGATAAAGTGCCTGGGATTGGACACTTGAAGATACTAATTGTGTTAAGCGGACCAAGGCCTTGACAAAGCAATTAAAACCTTTAAAACTCCGGAAGATGAGGATAAACTCATTATAGAAAGTGATGCATCTCACTTGTATTGGGGAGGTGTGCTAGGCTAAGAATATTGATAATATTGAACGGATTGTTCGATATGCGTCAGGAAAATTCTTCCTGCTGAAATAAACATCCTGGCCATGAGAAGGAAGTTTTAGCAGCGAAAGAATGTATTGACCGATTTCGATTGTTCTAATCAGTTAGGAATTACTTTAAGGACAGATTCTAAATATTTAAAAACTTTTATGAAACTGTCTTTTTAAGGATGACAAAGCTAGACTAATCAGATGGCAGATTGGTTTGCAAATTATAGAATCAAATTTGAATATATTTGGTAAATCTAACTTTGTTGCTGAATTTTTGTCTAGACATTATGCAGAAAAGATTGCAGGATAATGGCGGACAAGAAGGAAAAGGAAATCACTTTCATGCTCCAAGTGTAAGCACAGGGACACTTGAGAAAGATTGTCCTTTGAAGGTTACTTCTACTTCAAAGGTTACTGCTAAAAAGGAAGGAAACTACGGATAAGCAGGTGGCTTCTTCTTCTAAGCAGGTTACTGCAGTGCAGCAGGTTAAAGAAGGGAAGAATCGTGACTATGATTCTGATACTTCAGATAGAAGAAACCCAAAATTTCAAAGATTGCAGGGTGAAACTTCTACGAAGGCAAATATTCTGAAAAGAGGATTACTCTTAGAAGGAAACGACTCGAAAAAGGCAATAGTTTGCTGGTCTTGTAAACAGGAAGGACATGAACGGGTAATTGTCCACTGCCAAAGATCAAAAATCTGAGGAATCATCGTCAGGTGCTACAAGCATGGTGACACACACATCCACAAAAAAAGCGGTTAATTGACGCAGATATTTGTGAGAGGTTAAGCTTTCCAGAAGGATTAAGATAACTTCAGCTAGTCAAACACTCTGGGAGGATCTGGAAACCCAAATTAGAATCGCGATGGCGACAGGACAGGGGAAGTACAGCTGCAGATGTGTTAGAGAGCTAGCAAAAAGGTTAGCATGGCTAGAAGCTGACAAACTGTTTTAGAGGATGAGGGTTCAAGGGAAACTGCTTTACTATTGAAGCAGGAATTCAAAAACTTGAGGTAATAAGGAAATGTCATTTGTTTGACATGTCAAAACTCAAACTCGAGAATTTGAATGAATTAATGTGAAATTGGGAAAAACTGACTTGACGGATGTAGTTCAAGGATTAGCAAGTTTACTAATGGAGTGGAATTGTTCGTTCCATGGAAAATCTTTAGAAAAGGTTTATGTAAGAGATTTTTGACTAAAGGATGGATCGATACAATGCAAATGACGTACAGGAAGCGATGGTGGATGAATATACCAGATGCGGTTAAGCAAACGCTATGTGTATTGAATCGGAAAGGTGACACTTTCACTTGCATGATTACTCCTCATTGCAAGAGAACTATGATGTTCAGCCTGTACAGATATGGGTTTCTTGCAGGAGAACCATGGTATCGAATTATGCTCGATAGTGAGGCAAAAATGGGTTCTTTCGCACTAGAAGAAATTCAGAAGAAAGAAGAGGAAGATGGACCAGGGTACACATTTCCAAAATGTTACTGGTTAAATCCAAACTGGAGGAGCTCGTTAGGGGAAATGCTACTGTCCATATCAGGATGGAATTGTTGTGTAGTTATACCAGACCGGTATGCATTAATCCAGATACTCTCTTTAAAATTTTAAAACAGGCCCAGTTGAAAACGTTTTTAGAAGGGTTCGATTTAGCCCATCTACCGAAGCAGGCCTTAATGGAAGGAACTATTGATTTTCTAAGGTTGGTCTTAGCCCACGACCAGGAAGCCCAAGAAGATGACTCTTTAAAAGATTTTATTGATCTTATCGAAGTAGATAACTTCAAAGATTGATAAAAATCTGGAGGATGGAGATTTGGACAACCGGAAATGTCCAACACATACTACGCTGACGTGTATCCAACAAGCAGAAATAATACATGGACCGTCAAGATTTTGCTGACAGAAAATTGCGTAGAAGATTTAAAAGAAATCTTGACTACTTTATCATATGCAATAAAAATATGTAAAATGTAAAACATTGTGTTAAACATGGGAAATACATGGGACCCATGTCATATTTTCTTTATGTCTTTTATTTTGTTACGTGTTAAATCTTATTTAGATAAAGTCAAGTCACATGTATGTTGTGATTGACATGATGTTTATGTAATATTTATCTTATTTACGGATTCAAAATGTTTTGAAATCCGGACTTCTCTATATAAGGAGAAGCTTTGTACATGTATATTCAGAGAAAGTTAATAATATTTTCAGTTTTGAAAAATTCTCTCGATCTCTTGTTTACTTTTGATTGTATACTCGAGACAAGAAAAAGGATTCATTCAAGATGATCGATATCCAGGTATGAATTAATCGGTAAACTGAATCTATGAATTTTCTCTCCAATTAATTAACTAGGTTGTTTAGTTATTAATTGTAATAATATTTATAAGACTGGATATTACAAATATTATGTGGGTACATTTTAAGACAGTGAAAGGTGGGGTCTTTTGCTCCCTATTTTGGAGTATTATCCCCTTCTTCCTTAAGTTGCTTGAAGGAGTAGGACCCCACAATCATTTTTTATTTTGACCTTATCTTTCTTCTTCTTTTTCTGTATTTATAGCCATGACAATTCTGTAATTAATTATCAAACCAAAAGATTATAGAATGCTTTTAAAACTATGGTTTTATGAAGAAATACATTGCAAATATTAAGTATATTTAAAATAGTAATAAATAATATCTTAATAAGAGTTTATTATTTCAACCCATATTAAGAAAACTCTTTAAAAATATTTATTGCTAAATGCATATGGAATATAATGTTTCTCCTGTAATTATGTATTTTTGTTGTCCTAATTATTGGAAGATAATTTTAAAAAACGTGACAAAACTCTTTCTTGAAATAGTTTTTCAAAAATAATTTTCCAAAATGTTTAATGAATAATATTATCCATTAGAAATAAAGCAATTTTTGCTAATTAAAAGTTGATATTTGCTAATAAGTGTTCAAATACATGCACACTCTTGTGCAAAAATTGAGGCAGGCCAGAATGTTACATACATACATACATACATTTGCAGATCATACAAAATCCTTGAAAGTTTTTTGCAGATGATCAAGAGAGAGTTTTTTGTGTATCCGTTGCACATGTAACAAGTCAATAAAAATAACGCAAATAGCATACACGTGATTCATAATTGGGTGGTAACAAGTGCAAAATGTTCTTTGAAGGTCATGCATTTAAATTTGCAGAAGAATCTTAAGGCAACCTAGCAAACCACAGATTTATTGAATAACAAATAGTAAGATACAAGCAGATTTGAGACACTTACAATATTGACAAACACACAACAATCAACACAATATAAAGTTGACACTCAAACTGAGTAATTGTACAAATAAACATAAGTATTCACATAATGAAGTACTCTTTTCAAGGCATCTCTCTTCAAATGATATCAAGAGACAAACAAGAACTTCATACGAAGAACTAGGCCTGTAATGAAGAATGATGCAAAGCCCTTAAGATTCTTTGCCTATCTTTCTTGATCTCAAGAAGTTTATCATGAACACACCATGGAAAACTAAGGAAATGGTCGCGATTAAGTCCTTCGTTGTATCGACCCCAAAAACTTGGATGATATGTAACATAATACCAAGCTGATGCTTTCATGTATACTTTCTCAGGACCATCAGATTCATTTTCCTTCTTGTTGAACCAATCCCTGGCTTCTTTTATCAATGACTTCACAGCCAACTTGATTCCTTCCAAATCTCTTTTCTTACTAAAAGACTTTTCCATTTTCATTATTTGACCGCTGAGTATTTCACCCTCGGTTGATATCCCAAAATAGTCTATCAGATTTCCCAATCTATAATCATACTCACGTTTGTAATAAAAAGCATCATCAATGTAGTCCTTGAAGCCCTGCACTTCCATGTCAAGATCATAAAACTGCCTCGCCTCATCCGAGGTGAAGGATTTGATAGTACCCATCTTTGGCACAAGATCTTTTACCTCGCGGTAAAGTTTCCCAATCACACTTCGCGATTCATAGGATTCTCTTTCATGCTTTTCCATGAAATCCGGAAAACTTTTAACTTGTAAACGTTGAGGGATTTTAGCAGGCACTCCGGTTTTTGCGAAGTCAACAGCGATGGAGGCTAGCTTTGCAAGCTGAATACATTGCCAACACATTGCCTTGTAAGGACTAATATCTGCAAATGTAACATGGGCATTACAGATTACTCCCAAGTTTTCATTGACCATGTAATCTGCAAAAAACTCCTCCACATTCTGTACCACAATAGTGTCTATGTTAAGGCATAGAAAAAAAAAATATGCTCTAATTAGAATTCAAAAGAAAATGAACTAATGCAATAATCCATAATTCATGTATGTGTTTGAACAATTCTTGGCACGCTAGATTGAGTAATACCTCAATTGTGACTTCATTATCAAGAATCTTAGGTGGTGGTGAAGTATAATCCATAGGTGGATACTGGCGAGGAGGAATGAGATCACGATCCCAACAAACAAAGTAGATATCTCCATCCAAATCACTCCCCGAACATTCATCAGGATGAGGTCTAGTTAACAATGTAAATAATGTCACTGTAAATATGCTTTACAGAGAAATAATGCTTCAGTAAACAAAATATCAGTGCACAAGAAGAATGTAATGTGATCTTCAAGAGAGTGGTGACCAATTTAGAAATTTTCTGAGTTCGATATTAAAATTTCATGCAAGCAAGAAATATATAATATGTAATAAGACAGTCTGTGTTTTGTGCATGTGTGTGTATGCTATGTGGTGTATATGACAAGCTTACCTCTTTCCTTTAGCTGGAAATACTATGCAGTCCACCATGTGGTGCAAGGTCGGAACATCGACAGCTTTTAGAACACGAACATCTCCAGGATGTAGACATGGATTTTTTGCAACGGTTACCATTCCCCTTACAATTCTACTCTGGTTTGATACTCTGCCACTAGAATTGGTTGATAACTCAGTCTGGCGACTTGAACATTTCACAAACACCTGACCATATTCCAAGATTCCTGTCTCATCTAGACACCCCATCATTGTTCGTCCCCTTGGGATAAAGATTCTTGTTTTCATTCTCAAGTCTTTCAACGTTGACAAGCGAAATATTTGTAACATCATTGAAAGAAATGGTTCTTCATGTGGCTTAGAATAATAGTTAAGCATATCTTTCATTACATATGTGATCGCTCCTGAAGACATCAAGTTAAGTACTTCCTGTGCCTTTAATGGATCTGTTAAAATTGTTTCTAGTTGAGAAATCACATATTTCTGCTTCTTCTCAAACACATAATCCTTGACACCGAGAGTCGACAAAAGTATCACCAATTGGCGATTAAGGTAACACGGCTGAAACTTGCTCCATTCCAAAATATCAAGTCTAACATTATCTGATTTGTACTTGGACATACTTGGTCTCATTGATAACTTTATTGATGAAGTTGGATCAACCGCTACGACACCTTTGTACCCGGCATATCGAATCTGAAAGGCAGATGGAACAATTCTGAAGCCACACTTTCCAGCCACCATATGAGCCAATGTAGATGATATTTTCCCAATGCCGTCAGAGAAATTATATTTGACTCCCCCCTTTTCAACTTCTATATCAGGAATTTCTTCAATTTCATTCTTATCAACATTCGTAGCTTCCCTAGAGGAGCTGAATGATTGACCGAGTCTAGCAGAATATTTTGCCACATTCCTTATTGCACTAAAATAACCCAACCTCTCTCTGATTTCACTTGCAGTTAGTCCTGGTCTAGATGCAAACATCCACACAGAATTATCTTTCAGTTGACTATTAGAAAAGGCCAGAAATTCAAACTTTTTATCTCCAATAACAATGCCATTTCTCAGAGTTGACAATATCCTTTGATAAACTCTAGTATGCCTTTCAATATTCGCTAAAGATGCTCGAGGAGATAAATCTGTTGGATGTATTTTTTTAAGATCCTCATTAACAAAAGAAACACGAATAAAGTTCTCACTATCATCAGAATATGTGCGTAACACATTACTGGATAGAACAATCTCTGGACCAAAGAAATATACTTTAGATGGGGTGACTAGAACCCTGTGCATATATACCAATCCATGGCTTAAACTGATGGCAGGTAACATAGGAGGTCTTGCAGCCATGCTGTACTTTTGGTATTCATCTCTAAGCCACTGCCGAGGTTCAAAGCAACATTGTTTTGAATAAATCAGTTTCTCAAGAGCATGCTCTACAAATGCTACATGTCTTCTATACGAATCAACCATCCGAAAGAATTTATCATCTACTGCTGGCCTAGGAATACAACCACATTGAACCAAGGTATTAATCTTAAACAGGATACGAAACGGCAAGTTAAATCCTTGGGGTGGACTTATAATGGGGACATGATCAGAGTGGCAAGAGGCGGTTGAACCTCTCTCCACAATGAGTTTCACTGCGGTTTCTTTGTAGTAAGGGAATTCTTTCTGAAAATCTGAAAGATAACTAGTGGTTGGGAGTTCCAAGCATAAAGCAGTAGATTGACCAATGCATGAGGTTGGAGTAAAATCAATTTCATGAACCCACTGAACATTAGTGTCATCTCTAAAAAAGGTTTGATCAAGCAGATCTTTGGAATATATCTGAGGTACCCCGAATAACTAACAATAGTAACACAGAAAGATGAAAAAGAAGAACATGTTAAGAATTGTCCTCAATTGTCACGCAGATTAAAACATATTATTGCTAGTAATTTTAAGAACTATGACAAGTTTTAACTATAGCCTTAAGTACCAAATTATCCACTAGCAATCGAAATAAAATCTTAAATAATATAAACTATGTAGCAACATTGTACAATAAGAAGCAATTCTATATTGCAGAAATAAAAGAAAATACAATACAAATTAGTTTAAATAGCACACCTGAATGATGATAAACCTCTTGTTTTTTAGATGGCGCAACTCAACTAGCCTAATGCTCTTGTACGGGAGCTGAAGCTTATATTCCACAGAATTATGAGATAGAAAAAAGATAAATTTTCTTAGTCCCAATCCAAACTTGACAAAAACATTTTCTTTAGTCCATAGTGATGAAAACTTTTTGTCTGACAATTGAAAACCAAAGTGCAACTTTGCATCCTTAATCCTATGCTGAATGTGACCTGGTTTTGGTCCCTCGCCCATATCTTGAGCTTTCAAGTAAGAATTCCCATACCAAAGTCGTTCATCAGCCAAGGACTTGATCGTATCTGCAACTTCAGTTGTTGTGAAGTGTACAATTGCATAGCCCCTTAAACCTTCCTGTTGCTGAACTGCGACATCAGTGACAGTCCCTTCACCCAAAATTTTCTCAAGAAATTGTTTTATGGCCTCTGGTTGCTCAGCCGCAGTAAATCCATACAATATGATTGACTTACCCATTCAGTCTAAACAATTTCAACTGTTGTTTCCTAATCAACACCAAATTAGTAACACTTAACAAAATCCCATTTGATGCATGAAAAGTAAAGAAATTTGAAACATATAAGGGCTCAATTAAAAAACTTGAACAAATATTTCATAAATTATAAGTATCGCATATTGAACAATCAGACCTCAAAAATGCCTACCCATTTCAGTTTTAATGGAAGTTGATTGATCCATAGACTCAATAATCTAAAGGAATATATATAACAAACCATAGTACCATACGATGCATTGCTGAAAAGAATCATTCTTTTCATGATTATAAGAACATATATAATCAAGGAGAAATAAGCTTGGCTAATAAAATCTCCAAATCGCATAAAAGAAATTTTTCATTAATTGCCCTAATATCACAAAAAATTGTCATAAATATTCCCTAAGATACAAGCCAATTTGTCTAAAGCTCTGCAGAGATGAACAAAAATTTTGGCACTCAAAGAAATGATAAACAATATCAAAACCTGGTCAGTCTAAACATGGAAAAATGATCAAAATTTAGAATATGTAAAGTTTAGTGTAAGGAGAAAATCAAAATTAGTAAGCAAATAAAAGAGCACATAGTTGAAAATCCTCTATAAAATTCAATTCTAAAATGCATGCAATCTTAAACAAGATACTGCAACAAAGGAAATAAGCAAATAGTTGTAATTAAATAACTAAATAAGAGAAAGAAACTCACAAAGTGTATAGAGAGATAATTGCAGAGATATGAATAAGCAGATGACAGTACGTGCGTAAGAAGAAACCAACAAAATGCAGAAGAAGAAATGAAGGATTTGATTATATTTATAGAGAAGAAGGAAAAGAAAAACTATTGGTAGTCAATTTCTATACTTGCAAACCAAGTCTCTTCATGGCGCCAACAAGTTCCATTCCAGGATTCTATTCTTTCTTTGCAAATAATTTCTCTACTATTGTACCTAAATCTCAACCATAAGCATTGCTTAATTAAAGTACTAAGTACTTATAATTATGATAATTAACATCACATTTGCTGGTGTTGAAAGTATTTATAATTATCAAAAATTGACGTCATTTTTTTCCTATATAAACTAAATCCAGACTCCATTTTTAGCCACATGGTATCAGGGGCGGAGCTAGGGATGCCTTCCTCGGGCTTCAGTCTTATAAAAGAAAATTTAAGTTTTTAAAATTATGTATATATAATTTGTTGAATATTATTATTTTAATTGCATATAAAAAAATTACTCAGAATAAATGATTATTATTCCTTTATTCTCCCAATCTATTTTCATAAAATTCATCATATAACTCTATTTTCTCTTGTTTCTAGACCATTCTTCCTCTATATTTAAATAGATTTTCTTTATTTTCTTTACTTATTAATGCTATATTAACAATCTCATGTTAACATTATTCACACAAATATTTTAGATATTAATTAGTTGAAATTATTAGATAGTTTTATTAAAAGTTTCAAAATCTTATAAACTCAAAGATTATTCATTACATAGTCATGCTCTATATTAAAATATATAAATAAATCTCTTCTGTGAAATCTAAAATGATCGTTTCTCAAAAATAAATATATTTATTAAAAATAGACAGGGTTATTATTAGTTAGGGGACATTTTTATTATAAATTTACATAATATAACACTTTTATCATAAAAGACAATGAAATGACATTTCACTGTTTAAAACTGTTAATTTCAACATAAGTTTTTTGAACGACTAAAATATCCATGTGTAAGTGATTCTATTGTTAAAAAAAAAAAAAAATAGAAATAAAACAATACACACATCACTAAATTATTTGATATCCATGCACATATTGTTTTATTTCTATTATTCTTTCAAAAAAATAAAATCACTAACACAAGGTATTTCAATCATTTAAAAAATTTCAATTAAAATTAGCGACTTTAAACTGTTAAGTATACTCTCCTTATCTTTTCTAATAAAAATGTCAATAACTATAAGTTTCCATAATACACCCAAACTAATTATAAACTAATTCATTATATTTTTAATTGTGGATTAAACTACTTTTTCATTAATAATATTTTATAAAATATATTTTTTTATTATTATTTTTACAGTTGTTTTGTAATAATAAGATCATGAGACTTGAAGCATAAAATTGATAGGGAATTATAAGATGCTTTAATTTCTCTCTTTTGCAAAGCAATGAATATATAACCTATATTACTTTTATTTTGGGAAATTGAAATTCTCTACTTGCTTTTTAAGGACAGATTGAATCTAATTCATGGATGATTCTTTTACCCCATTTTATCCATCATCTTTATTTGTATATGTATTTCATTTGTTAAATTTTATTTTGTAATAATTTTAATGTGTACCTTTAAGGCATGGTTTTAATTAATTAACATTAACAGCTTTAAACGTTTAAGTATCATTTCATTATCTTTTCTAATAGAAATTTCCTATAAGTCTATAACTATAAGTTTTCATAATACCTCCAAACTAGAAATTGGTACTCCTATTAGGATGTTTAATTAGCTCCCCTTCAGCAATTAAGTTAATTAAAATCATTACTAATTCATTATATTTTTATTTGTTGATTAAACTAATTTTTCATTAATAATTTTTCATAAAATATAGGTCTTTCAACAATTTATATTTAATATTCTATTTTAAATTTTTAAATTTTTTTTTTTACTGAAATAATAAAGTTAATATAATTTTGTAATAATAAAAGCATGAGACTTGAACAATAAAATTGATGGAGGAATTATAAGATGCTTTAATTTCTCTCTTTTGCCAAGCAATGAATATATAACCTATATATCTTTTATTTTGGGAAATTGAAATTCTCTACTTGCTTTTTAAGGACAGATTGAATCTAATTCATGGATGATTCTTTTACCCTATTTTATCCGTCATCTTTATATATATATATTTCATTGGTTAACAATAATATATTTCTTTTATTTTGTAATTATTTTAAGGCCCGAGACAATGTATAACCTATATTACTTTTATTTTATATATTTTGTTTTAACAACATTATGTTTGTTCAAAATGATTTTTTCTCTTAATGATTTTAACATGTAATTTTTTTTTTTTTGTTAATTTTTAATGATTTTAACATGTGCCTCCTGTAGAAACAACCTCAATATTTTTTTTTTAAAAGCTTAATTGGTTAAACTAACGTAATCAAGCTGGTATTTTATGTAACCCTTTAATTAAAAATTTTTATTTAATGATATACGCTGTGAAGCTCTTAATTTATTAACATTTCATATAAAAATATCAAACATTATTTAATTATGACTTTTCATTAAAAAAATTAAATAAGTAGAAGTATGGAAAAGAATGTTTGCTTTATAGGCATAATATATTCTCCTTATGAAAAGGGGAAGGAATTCTGAGTAAATAAAAATTGTAAAGCCTTCCTTCCTTAGAATGCAACTTTCTAAAGGAATCTACTCTTTTTCTTATTATTAAAACATTACAAAATCAATTATTTTAACATGAGTAAAAGACATTTACTCACCCAAGGTTTGGCCAATCTTCAAGTCCCCACCCATGGTTTCATAAGTTTCACATTTCCATCCAATTTTAAATTTCAAACATGTAATTTAACAGTTTAAAGGGTATTTAGATCTTTTTATTCAAAAAAAAAAAAAATTACACATCTCAAAATTTTCTCACAACCCAACCCTTCCTCTTTGCCTCTAACTCCACCATTACCACCGGCAGCCAGATCTGGACACTGCGGACAAGAGTGTATAGGCAAAAGCTTGTGTTGGACTTCTGATAGCCCAACAATGCTTATTTCTGCTCTGGAGGACATCAACAACGGCCCCGTGCCTCGGCTCAACTCTGGTTGGTCCCACGTTATAGTCACAACCCAATTCCACAACCCAACTCTTGTTGGTCTTACTTCAAAGTCCTATAGAAGGTTCACTCTATGAGTTGGTCTAATCTATAAGTTGATCCATTCTATGAGCTTGCCTACACTCCACAAGTCGGACTACTCTACAAGCCAAGCCACTTCGCGATCTGGGCTGCTTTGTGAGCCGAATCTCTCTATGGATTGGGCCCAATTGTGAGTCGGACCACTACAGGTTTGGCATTCATAAAACGTTGAGTTCCATGAGGATTCTAACATCCCAAGGACTCCAAGTTCAATCCGAATATTGGCTCTCCACATATTCTTATTCTTGCGAGAGTTTAACACTCAAAGACTCCTAATCTTATGTGATTCCTACACTTATGAATTCCCACACCCATACAAAATCTAACACCTCATGAACCCCAAGTCCTGTAGAGATTCCAATATCCTTGGTGGTTCCAAGTCTACACAAATACTTCCTATTTCGAGTACTCCTAGTTTTGAAAGAACTAGTACTTCTAGCTTCACAAGCAGTAGAACTCCAAGTTCTACAAGAACTTGGACCACCAAGGCTTCCTATAAAAGCAAAGGTATGTCCTCTTGGAAATTCATCATATCCACAATTCAGAATCCAAGCATTTAATACATAGTCTTTCGACTGAATAACACTCTTTTATTCAGTACACACAATTCCCCCACCAACTTTCTCTTTAGCCGCCATCCATTACCGCAAAGCTGAGTTCCGACCACTCTATGACAATAGTTGCACCTTAGCTCCAAAACACAGTAAACCCTCTTTTGCCTTATTACACTGTATTCCGTCACGACCTTGCTGACTTGAGTTTCAGAGTGCATATGATTGACACCACACCGGTGTCTCCTAAAGTGCTTCACGATCACTTTTCGAATCTCTCTATAGGTCCAGAAGATTATCAGTGGCTCAACATCCCTACAATATTTTTGGGTAGATTTTATCATCTACAATTTGGCACCCACCTTGGGGCCCTAACAATCATCTGGCAAAAAAGACAACTAACACCATGATGGGAAGCACAAAAATTCCCTTAGATGACATGTAGCTCAAATCGCCTTGCTCATTGCTCAGGTGCAAGAGAGCGGAGCAAATTTCAAGTGCCAGAAGACGAGAACATTGCCATTCAAGCAGAGAACCGAGCTCTACAGGAGAGAGTCCAACAACTCTCTAGCTTCAAGTCTACTCCACATCAGCATGACACTAGACTCCGCATCCCAATCAACCTAACACAATTTTTTGGGATACCCTAGCATGGAGGATTGTTGAGCCAACCTGACCCTCCCCATCAAAAATCACCAATGGTTTGACAATCATGCCAACGACTTCTTTCGAAGACTTCAACTTCATATTCCAAACCGAAGCGAATGGGACCACTCCGCTCTACATAACGACAATCTTGATCGTCTAAACAACCCCGATTTCTCCATTCAATTAGACTGGACCTACTCCATAGGCAACCTCGATCCCACAGTTCCAGACAACAGGGTCAATTCTACAGGCAACCTCGATCCCACACTTCTTGACGACTAGGCCAATTCACCAGTGGTCTCGCATGATCAGCTCAACTCAAGCAATCATGACAAGCTGAAATCCTTTACAATTTGTGAAGACTAGTGCTGGCCTTTTCTTGACAATGGGAATGCCCCTATGGCAAGCGATGGAAAAAAGGCTCCCAGAGATGAAAGTGATGATCCAGCGGATCCTTGGAATGTCGACTCCACTCATGAAGAGTCTACTGCAAAGCTACGATAATCTCTATTTCTCGACTCGATTGCCCTTATAGAGATGTCAAGGAAGTTTTCCTTCTCCAACATGAAGCCCTACAACAGCACAACAGATGTTGATGACCACATTGCCTCCTACAAGTAGCAGATGTTCAC